ATAATATAATATATTTAAATAAATATTTAAATAAGTCACCAGGCCTGGGCATCCCAGGGAAGTGGAGATTTTCTTAGATGGCTCCACTGTGGTTGATATATTTACTCTCTCCATGGCTTGCGGTTTGTATATTTTAAATTTTTAATAACATTTTAATTTTTAATAATGACTTCTTATATTTTTATAATGATTGTTTTTTATATATTGTTTTATTTGATTGTTGTACACCGCCCAGAGTCACTTTTTGTGAGATAGGTGGCCATGTATTTACTGTTAAGAAACATCACTGACTTATTTAGATTATTATACCAGTTTGTCAGACCTATAAGGTAGACCAGACTAAGAAACCAATCCCATATAGGTCAGGACTACTTTTATCTTAACAGCTATAGTTACAGAATCTTGCAAGTCTGAATGTGCTTTCCGCCTCCCTCACTTTTTCTTTGTGTGAACTAGGGAGGGGTCTGTCTTGAGATGTTTTCTCAAATTAGTTTCTTGGAATGGGCTCATGTCCCACTTATCTGACTGTTGCCTTGGTAGCAGCTCTTCCTCTTGTCCTTCAAGGCCATTTCCTATACCCTCTACACAGTTCTGGCATTTAAGTTAAAGGACAGAAAATACAATGAGAGTTAGTCATGCTAATGGCTGTTTATATTTGATGTTTTCAAGACAAAAGCTGATCTTCTACTGGGCCTACTGGACCCGTCCCATTTCTCTTACACTTTATCCCATGTTAGTAACCCCAGTAACCCCAACTAATCATGGATACTCTCATAAATGTAACCTCATCATGGTCTTAAAAGATCACCGCCTTTGACTATCTGAGGAAAAGTACTCAGGAACATAGGGAATCACAGGGCTATTGCTAAGACAACCAGCACAACATTCCTTGACTTGCAGTACTATACTGACTATGTATACGTGTCAAGTCATTTAGCCTATCAAGCTCTGGCTTTATTATTTAAAGTAACATAACACAGATGGACAAGATGTACATCCATGTAATATTAATTTCAGTGGTACACACATTCCTACCAACATTTTGCTGCAACTAAGTCACTATGAACTGTGATTGAGTTGGACTGCATGTCAACCTGGTTTCTTCAGAAATAGGGATATGTTCCCTTCTGCCCCGCCGCCGAGCCACAGATACTCCCTGCAAACACTTTTTAATCCTTTGGCTAAGGAATGTAAAAGATTTCTGTATTTTCTCAGTAAGCTTTCATGTTCATAACACACATATTCTGGTAAATCTTGATAACCATACCGTCAAGGTCACTTTCAAATGTTTCTGCTGATATCCAATCAGTAGATATTCCTGTGCCATTGACTGTTAAGGCAGCCACTCGGAAGCTGTACTCTGTACCTCGTTCCAAACCTAATATAAAACACATCATACTAAAATAGAGTTTTCAATATTAATTGCAAACTTTCTGCTTCTAATTAGGATAGCAACAGTTCCATTATTCTGTTATTTCTAAGTGCTCCAATGAATTATCTTCAAATGATTATTATTTCTAAGTTATAATCTGAGTCAAAGCTGACATAGATCTAGTTAAATAAATACTTTATGTCTTGGCCTTTCATCTTTCTGATGGTTACCTGAGCATAACCTAAAGCTAAGAAGGACAAATCAATAATATTTGCTGTAAGACTCCAAGAGATTCAGTTGTCAGCAATTACTATCTGTCAGGCATGACAGGACTGACACACTGCAGTAACCTTTCCTGTATATCAGTAGCAAAAGAATATGTAATTTTCCTTTAGCAAATAGAAGGACTAAGAGTTTCAAATGATTTATTCATTTTATTTATTTCCACAGCAGGTGCTCTTAACAATTTCTATAAAAACAAAACACCTAGATAAAAGCATAACTAAACAATTAAAAATGTGAATTAAAATATTCTTATCTGATAAATCTGATTTATAGGGACTTTCCTAGATGGGTTAGGCCTTATTTCAAGCACGGAAGGCAGAATTAAAGGGAATTACCCACCAGTCTTTAGGACGGCTTGAGTGAAAAAGGAGTATCTGTGATGAACACCCAAAGTAAAACAAGATGGCAGGACTCCCATGATCAAAAGAAATATAACAAGGGCAAAGAATGTTATTTTTATAATATGCCCTCTTCTTTTCCATGGAAGAAGAGGGGATATTTTCTTTCCTAACATAAGAAGCTTGCAGTTAGTTTCTGTTGTTATTAGATAGAGAATTCCAACTTATTCACCTTCAATTAGCTGTGAAAGTTGTGTCCCAACAATAATTTCAGTCACATCGCTTTTGCGAATCACTTTTCGGTATCGAATCTTATAGCCGGTAATTTGTCCATTGTGTGTTCCTGTGGGAGGAGGCTGCCAATGCATCATAATGCTCTGTGGGAAGTTAAATGGCATTATAAATCATATTCTCTAAATTAAATTATGCTAATTGTCATGCTTCATCAATCTCCACTATATTTACACATACCTAGAAATATTGTATATAAACCTACGTAACAACTCTGGCATTAAAATTATGTATCTGGAAACAACCCAACTATGTAACTTGCAAATAATATTCTATGTAAATGTGTGTGCGTGTGATCTTCCATATTAAGGAATTCCCACAAGATACTTTGAAACATTAACATTACTCTTCACTGCTGGTCCTGAAACAAAGAATGTCTTAACCATTTGTACACTGGCTAGTATAGTCAATGTTTGCTGCAGCTTTAAGCATGAAAATTGAGATTGTATCCAGTGCAAAAAAAAAAAAAAAAGGAAGCTTATAAACTACAGCTTATTCATCACACCCTCAAGATATAAGGTAGAAAATCAGCTGTAGTTCTTCTCTTTAGATATAGACTTCATCCATGTCTAAAGAGACATGTCTTACCTTGGAGTTTTGCACTTCTAGTGTTAGATTCTGGGGTGCAGCACTGGGAACTAGAAACATTAAAAGAAATTACTCAAAATTCATCCCAGTATCTGATTCAAAGTAAGAAAAATACAGGAGAGGGGACCCCTAAACAACTATTGGTAATGATAATGAAAAAAAAACACATGCATACAATATACATAAGCAAACAAACAAAAAACCCTCAATAATCATGGATACACAAAACCCTTTACTATTGGTAACAAGATCTGGTCCATATTTTCCAGCCATGGATATGCAACACCATAGAGGATGAAACTATGGATAATGAGGGCTATCTGTATATCACATCAATCATATTCCACATAAATTTCACCTTGCCTGAAAAGCCAAGTTTTAATCATATTCCTGAATCCCAGTAAACAAAGTTTTACTAGAGAAGATTTCTCTAGAATGGAAGCAACTACTGAAAAGTGTTATTCCCTGAAGCCATTCCCAAATTCAGAAGAAAAGCACATGTTAGTAGAGTTATGTCCATGTATGGAAGTATTCAGCATTCATGAGTTTTTTTTTTTAAAGTGAATAGATTGATAGATAAAAGTTCCACTGGAACAAGTCACAATTCACATTTTCCTATCACCCTTAAAGGTACTTTACCATGCCTTACATTTGATACAAATGAGTGGTCACACACACACACAACATAAACTCAATCTTGTCTCTAAATCAAAACAGTTTATTAAACTCAATATAATACCCCCTTGATATTACTTGATACTTAATATGAATACAGACAGTCCTCTATTTACAAACAGGTTATGTTCCAAGAGGCTGT